GTAAAAACTAGTGAAAAATATCTGAAAAAATGGGAGTTTTACCATTAATTAAAGAAGGAAAGTTTCAACATTTAGTTCTAAGACTTTAAAATTGTAATCTTGAGAAATTCTTATAGTCCTCATCTATTTTCCATTTAACCACCTATAAATACACACACACACACACACACACGCACACACGCACACACGCACACACACACACAAACACACACACACATTTATTGGAGGTCAAGCCTCCATAAAACAAAAAAGAAAGAGTTGAGTCACGTGAATGCAGTGCTATTACTAACTTGCATTGCTACAGCTGAATTATCAGACTTTGATAGAGATTCATCACGAGAAAGGCTTCAGATAAATTCCATGAACTTTGTTTTATAGTTCAGTACTATACACTTGAACCTGACTTTGGCGTTAGTAGGAAAAACTTCCATTTGTAGTGCTTTCCTACTCCATAACAATGGTAGCAACCCTAATCCTTTGCTTAGCAGACAAAGAAAATTTGCCAGTGGTGGGAGTGTGCATGGTGGGGAACTTCCATGGAGTTATTTCTTTTTTTTTTCCTCCAGAACCCAACCCATCCACCGATGAGCAATGTTTTCCTGGCTTACTGGGTCTAAATACACTAGATCATACAAGCCCTGTTTTTCAAAAAGAAAAGGAGAGAGAAAACTAGCAAATTAGCCAAAAGCAGCCTGGTTAGTACTGACAGATGATTAAAGACCTTGGCAGAAAATGACTTAAACAACAGAAAATTCTTGATGTTGTCTGAAGAGACAAGAGTATATAACCTTCTTCAAAATTAATCTTTCGATATTTTCTCACATTTTACTCTACTCCTATGTCAGAACATGTTCCTGTTGGTGGAAAAGAACCAGGTTACATTTATGTTGAACTACAGAGTAAAATTTAATTTTTCATGGGGAAAAACAGAAAATTTAGATAAATGAATTTTAACAATAAAATTATAGTCTTTAAGAGGAAATTTTACAGCATTGTTTATGTTCTGAAACTGGTCTAAAGGCAGCAGAGGGGATGTCCAGTGTTTTGTTCTCTTACTTCCTTTACCCATTGCATTTTGAATGAAGTCGATCCTTCACCACACCTTCAGGAAATGGCATATTTCTCTGGCCAATTACAGCACTCCATATTCTTTAGGGACTGGGTCAGGAATGAGCTAGTGATATGAGCTCCCTGGTATCCAATTATAATGCAATGCATTATATGATATGATATGATATGATATGATATGATATGATATGATATTTTATTAGTACCCATATCATAGGCACTAATTTCTGGTAAGGGCTAAGTCAGTGCACAGCAAGGAGACTTGAACTTTAGTTTACTATTGTGGATATACCGAGAAATAATATTTTTACAACAAATCAATAGTTTTATAAATTTTGGAAATGTGATAACTTCTAATGTGAAAGTCACTAGTCAATCAATCAACTCATACAAATTTATTGAGAACCTTAGGTCTATGGTAACAAAAGGATGTGGGGGTAGGGGGAGGAAGAAAATATCAAACAGTTGTAAGGTTGGTAAAGATGAGTATAAACTGAGACACAGGGGCAGGGGACTGTGTGTCTAGCAGCCATGTGTGGCTCAGGAACAGGAATGGCAAAAATGGATGGCAATGTAAATCAGATTATAGACACGTATAACAGGCCCAACTAGGGTATAAGAAAACATGAGATACTAGAGACTGCATCAAAGTGATGTATGACATGCAGGTGGTGGCCTGTGTGCTGTGGGGAGAGAAGAAGAAAGAAAAATGGTCCTAAAATGGTAGGGAGTTAGTGACTGAAAACTACAGTCAAATGGCAGCACCTAGGATGTGGATTTGGTAGCAACAGGCAAGATGAAGGGGGTGTGCCGGTGTGAAGACCTCAGAGTTGGACCAAGTCTTATTGGTGAGCTCAGGTGTGGGACTGTGCTGCAGGTGACTGACAACAAACAGGAAGGAAAGGGGCCTGGGAAAAGCCAGGACTGTAACGTGGGTAGGGGAGGTTTTAAAGAAAAATCATTTTTAACATTTATCGAGAAAATCACAAGGCTCAGCATTAGAGTAGGAGAGGAGGGAGAATATAGTTGCCAAAGAAGCTAACGGGGAAATGTTGGAGATCATCAATTAAACATAATTCGGGGCACCTGGGTGGCGCAGTCGGTTAAGCGTCCGACTTCAGCCAGGTCACGAACTCGCGGTCCGTGAGTTCGAGCCCCGCGTCAGGCTCTGGGCTGATGGCTCAGAGCCTGGAGCCTGTTTCCAATTCTGTGTCTCCCTCTCTCTCTGCCCCTTCCCCGTTTATGCTCTGTCTCTCTCTGTCCCAAAAATAAATAAACGTTGGAAAAAAAAATTTTAAACATAATTGAATGTGTGTACATATAAATACATATTACATATATTATATGTAATTACATATGTTTAATTAAATATATATAATTGTATATTTAAGGGCTAAATGACACTGGGGAAGTGAGACTATGTGGAGCAAAAAAGTTGAAAGGCTCCAGGTTCAAATCTGCAACTAGGCTGTTATAGAACAGCTCCTTTTAAATACCAACAAGATAGCCGATAAGAACAGGAGAGGCCTTCCTGAGCCTGGTGCTGGGGCAGCAGGTAAAAAAAAGGTTTCCCTTAAATGCCCTCCGAGCAATCAAGGCCAGGGAGATGGAGAAGAGAACATGGAATGGAAAGGGTGGATGACAAAAGAAGCGGAATGTAAACACAATGAGGGTTTTGGTTCGCAAAGACAGCGAGGAGAAGCACAAATGCAGTTCTCGGTGCTATGAAGCAATGCAGAGGGCCACATCGGGTCACTGTGCCCAAGAGCAGGTCCTGCTCTATGACACAGAGATCACATGCACAGAGGCAGCCCCTTTCAACAGCACAAGCACACCCACACACAGCTTGCATTCAATCTGCCTGGAACTGCTATAAAACACTTGACAACAAAAGTAAAATGGAAAGAAAAATAAATTAAATTTTGAAATGCAATTTAAAAAATTCTCATATATTTCTGGACATTGCCACAGGCAAAAAAGATTCATAAAACACATTACATTATTTGTGAATCAGTCTGACTGTGAGTTTGATATGAATTATAGAGAGGATGGATCCAGGGCATGATTTCCCTGAATAATTTATTTCAGGCAGCCCCTACTGCTCAGAAATAGGAAACTGAAAAAAACGACATGTCTAAGCACTAGTTTTTTGAGGCCAGGTGCACTGGTTTCTGAAAGAGTCCAAGAAAGGTAATAGCATGGCAGTTTCTCAAAGAATTAAAAATAGAACTACCATATAATCCAGTTAGATTCCACTAGTAAATCAAAATGATAGATGCACCCTTAGTGTTTATTGCAGCATTATTTACAAGGGCCAAGATATGGAAGCAACCCACGTGTCCATCCATTAAGAATGAATAAAGAAGATTCAATACATGTGTGCGTGCACGCACACACACACACACACACACACACACACACACACACACACACACACACGATGGAATATTACTCAGCCATAAAAAAGAATGAAACCCTGCTCTTTGCAGCAACATGGATAGATCTAGAGGGTATAACAATAAGTGAAATAAGTCAGTCAGAGAGAGACAAATACCATGTGATTTCACTCAAGGTAGAATTTAAGAAACAAACGAACAAAGGAAAAAGAGACAAACAAAAGATGACTCTTAACTATAGAGAACAAACTGATGGCTGCCACAGGGAGGGGAGGTGGGGAGTGCTCATGAGCTCTGAGTAATGTACAGAATTGCTGAGTCACTATATTGTACACCTGAAACTAATGTAACACTAGACATTAATCATACTTGAATAAAATATATATACGAAAAAATCATAGAACATAAAAGTGGTTGGCATTATCTACAAAAAAACACATGTAAGCCTTTTCTTTTTTGGTTTCTTTAGCAAGTGGCAACCCTATAAACAAGAAAATTATTACTTTTTTCTAGCAAAACAAGTTGTTTCATAGGATCTATCTACACAATGAAAATGTGGTGATCCCAGGACGTCACATAATGATAGGTGATCAGCAAAGACCTAGTGAATTGGACTGTATCCAGGCAAATTCCAACTGAATTCTAATCAGTGCAACCGAGGCCTGGGCGCTGAACAAGTTGAGGAACTTAAAGAAGTAAAATCTAGAATCATTAAAGCCAATGGATTTCCTTTAGTCAAAGAAATAACAAACAAAGGAGCAATACAATCTGAGTTTCTCAATAATTCCTCAATTTTAACAAAAATAAACATTAAAAATCTGGGTCTCTTCACATTGCTGCACTGATCATTTTTGTGAGGATCCCTGTACAGCTGTTCCCTGGCACTTTTTTTTTTTTTAAGTGAAATACACTGTTTTTATTTTGTTTTGTTTTGTTTTTTGTTTTTCTGTATTGATACACACAGTCCCATTAGTAACTTGTAAATCCTAAACAAGAAATATAAATCTGGGCAGATATCTATCTGAGAGCAGCTGCTCCTCGAGATGGCATGGCCTCATCTGCTGTAACTCCTGAACACTGGTTTCCAACTTGGCCTTGGCTTATAGCAAGCAGGCTTCTGACTTAATGAAAGCAATGGATTCCTACCTAGCCCTGTTGTCATTTCTTGGCTTCCATACCCTCCGTACATGTGGGGCCCTAACACCTGTCTTTCACCGCTGGTGAGTTTTTTTGTTTGCTTTTGCCGCTGTCCAAATGATTCAAGGTGATAAATGAAAGTACGCCTGTGTGTTGCTGGGAGGCTGGGGAGACTGTAAATTTGGGAAAAGTGGGACAATACTGGATGCAGAAACAGCCAATTCAAGGCAAACTGTTTGCTTTTTCTGAAAAAATTTTGAAAGTTCCTGTAGACAGAAGCCCAAAATTTCCTTTTGGGCCCAATTTTGATGTATGTTTTCTGTTACCCTTAAAAACTTATGCCCAAGATTTCTTCAAATAGAAATTATTAATCTATGGATAGAGAAATAAAAGTACTACCTGACAAGACAACTTCAATTAGATCGCCTTCCTGGATATCGCTAGCCGTTTTCACCAGCTGAAGGATGTTTTCAGAGGTAGGGTCGTGGCGAAAAAGCAGGATCTTATCATACATTCCATAGAAACCACATTCGGGGAACTGTAAATACAGATACCACAATAGGTTAGATGTCAAAACCTTCTCAATTTAAAATAGAAACCAAATAAATGTCAGGGTAAAAACACAGCTAATTATAAAAGTTCAAAGTATCCAGAACATTGAAAGTGGATAGCAAAGTTGATACTCACATACCTCCAAGTCAGGAGGAAAGAAATCACATGTGATAAGGGCAATAAGGACCAAACGACCTTCTAATTAGAGGGCAAGAAAATGGAAGAATATGAGATAAAAATCAGAGAGACTCCTGGCAGTGAGGTGGCTAAGAAATATAATAGGTGGGAAGAACTGTGCATTCTCACAAGATCTATCGCAATCCAGTAGCATAAAAATGGGAATCAGTTTATTACAATTCCATTACACATATTGTTGCAATCTGCTTGCAAAAAAAAAAAAAAAGGTCAGTCCATTTTGGCATATTCAAAAATATGAGACGACTCAATAAAACTGATCATATTCTGTGTGCGGGCTGACTCAGGAAAGCACCAGAGGAGACAAACCAACTCTCCTTTTTGTTATTGCCCATACATTGCATTTAATTTTCATGCAATCTAAGTTAAATAGATTATGAACAATAGCTAAAAGTCAGTTTGTTTTAAATACATACATAAGGCTTAAATTATGTTTTAAATACATACATAAATACATAAGGCTTAAATTCCCTCCACAGGGATAAATCCAAGAGTTTATTACTCAATAGCAGGCATATAATGAGTGATATTTTATAGGAGAAAAACCTAAAAAATTTTAACGGTAGCAATTACTATTATAATATTAACAATTAATATTATTCCCTGTATTTCCCATCTCCCTCCCAAAGCAAGAAAAGGTTCTAAATTCAGACCACAGTCCTAATGTAGAATTCCATTTTAAGAGTAGAATTATTTGATCAAAGGGTAAAAACATCCTTAAGGATCTTAAAGCGAACTTCAAACCATTAATAAAACTACCAATCCACAATCTCATGGGCAGTGTTAAGAGTAGGTCCATCTGCACTGGCATTGGGATTTCTGTTAAAACAATCAAACAACCTAAGTTAATTTTTATGTGTAAAGGACTCTTTTCTCACATACAACTTTTTCACATAATTATTAAGAATTATGATTTCTTTTATATGTTGATATTTGTAATGTAGTGGGAAAGGTCATAGTCAAGGAGAGAATACTGTCTTTTTAAAATCAATAAAAGTGTATTTTAAGGGGCTACTGTCATGGAAAAATGTCCAGAATGTGGTTATCTTCTGCAGATAAATACATTGTATTGTGAATTCCTCTTTATTTTTTCTTATTAATAAATTTAGGGGCTACATTCAAATGATGCATTTTGTATAAATTAAAATTAAGTATATTCAGATCATCCTCTTGCTTAAGAGTCTGTTGGTGACCAAGCTTAAAACTACTTCGGGGCGCCTGGGTGGCTCAGTCGGTTAAGCGTCGACATCAGCTCAGGTCATGATCTCACGGTTCATGGGTTCGAGCCCCGCGTTGGGCTCTGTGCTGACAGCTCTAAGCCTGGAGCCTACTTTGGATTCTGTGTCTCCCTCTCTCTATTCCTCCCCCGCTTGCACTCTGTCTCTCCGTCTCAAAAAGAAGTAAAGATTAAAAAACAAAACAAAACTGCTACTACTTATCACTTAGAAAAGCTGGCTTCCAGAGCGCCCGGGTGGCTCACTCAGTCAGTGAAGTGTCCAACTTCGGCTCAGGTCATGACCTCACGTTCCTAGGTTTGAGCCCCACGTTGGACTCTGAGCTGTCAGCACAGAGCCTGACATGGGGCTCGAACTCATGAACCATGAGATCATGACCTGAGCTGAAGGTGACTGCTTAACCAACCGACTGAGTCACCCAGGCATGCCAACAATATTTTTAGAGTACAAGGAGGAAAGAGTACTGTTTTATAGGGAAAAGTACAATACCATTTTCCCTAACTTAAAAGCAATGAATAGTTCATATACTACTTTAAAAATCAACTTCACTGAGATATAATTAACAAATAAAATGGATAGAAGTCTGTATTTTGACAATCATCAACACTCATGCAACCAAAGTCACAATCAGGCCAGAAAACGTTTCTTTTAAATGTTTATTTATTTTGAGAGAGAGAGAAAGTGTGTGCCTGTGAGTAGGGGAGGGGCAGAGAGAGAGAGAATCCCGAGCAGACTCCATGTTCAGAGCCCAACTCCTGGCTCAATCCCAGGAACAGTGAGAAATCAAAAGTTGGATGCTAGATCGACTGAGCCATCCATGCACCCCAGGCCATGAAACATTTACATCAACCTCCCCCAAATTTTATTGTACCCTCTTGCAGTTGATGCTATTTACAATGTTGGCCCTATGCACAGATTTGCTTTTTGTCACCATAGTTCATCTGCTACAGAGTTTCATACAAATGAAATCATACAGTATATACTATATACTCTTTTCTGGCTAACTTCTTTTGCTCACTATATTTTTGAGACTCATTTATACATACTGCCTTTGGGAAGCCTCTCTATTTATCAGTTACTAGTATTTCATTACATGGACCTAGGATAATTATTTACCCTCAGATGGACATTTGTATTCTTTTTCCAATTTGTGGCTATCACAAATAATAATGCTATGAACATTTATGTGCAAGTATTTATTTTAGTGGGTGTTTCTCAATTTTTATGAGTAAATAGTGAGGAACAGAATTTCTGGGTCATATAATTGTACGTTTGATTACATATTAACACATTATACTTATTATTGGTGCTTTATACTAAGCCATAAAGTCAGGTAGGGTCTTTTTTTTCTTTTCAAAATTGCTTTGGATATTACAGGTCTTCTTAATTTCCATACACATTTTAGAATCACTTTGTAATTTCTAAAAAAAAAATCTGCAATGACTTTCAATGATATTACATTGAAACAAACATAGATCAGTTGGGTAGGACTGTATTTTAACAATGCAGAGACTTGTACTTTATTATGAACAAGATATATTGCCCTATTTATTAGTCTCTTAAATTTCTCTCAAAAATGTTTTGTAGTTTTCATTGTACATGTCTTAGATATATTTGCTAAATTTGCCTTTAAGTATTTGGTATTTTTGTGCTATTTTTAAAATTTATTTATTTTTGAGAGAGCACACAGGAGAGGGGCAGAGAGAGGGAGAGACAGAGAATCCCAAGCAGACTCCACGCTGTCAGCTCAGAACCCAATGTGGGGCTCAAATTCACAAACCATGAGATCATGACCTGAGAAGAAATCAAGAATTTGACACTCAGATGCCCCTTTATGCTATTTTAAATAGTTCATTAAGGTATAATTGACATACAATAAAATTCACCCTTTTTAGTGTGTAGTCCTGAAAGTTTTTACAAATGTGTATAAAAACTACATACCATATATGTGCTATACACAAAACAGCCAAGATATAGAACAGTTCCCATCACCCCCTAAAATTTCTCCATGCCCATTTATTATCAACTTCTCCCCTGACCCTTAACCCCTAGAAAATACTGATCAGCTTTCTGTCTCTATAATTTGGTCTTTTCTAGAATGTCATATAAATGATATTATCCCATTTCTATTGTACCTAATTTTGAATCTGACTTTTTTCACACTTAGTGTAATAAATCTGAAATTGTCCATTCTGTTGTATGTATCATTAATGTATTCCGTTTTATTGCTGAGGAGTGCTCCATTGTATTGCATGGATACACCAGAGTGTATGTACCCATTCCCCAATTGAGGGGCATTTTAGTTCCAATTTTTGACTATTACAAATAAAGTTGCTATAAATGTTCACTTAGAGGTTTTTGTGTGAACACAAGTTTTTATTTCTGTGGGGTGGATGGAAGTATCTGGATAACTTTATACAAAATTGCCAAAATGCCTATACCATTTGACATTCCTACAAGCAGTGTATGCGAGTTCCAGTTGCTCTGCATCTTTGACAGAACTTGGTAATGTTGGTTGCTTTTATTTTAGACATTCTAACAGGTATATAATAGTATCTCACAGTTTTTTTTTTAATTTTTTTTCCAGCGTTTTGTTATTTTTGGGACAGAGAGACAGAGCATGAACAGGGGGAGGGGAGGCAGAGAGAAACAAGGCGTCGAAACAGGCTCCAGGCTCCAGGCCATCCGTAGAGCCTGGCCAGCTGTTCCGAACTCCGCACCGGACAGCAGTCAGTCGACCTGGCTGAAGCGGTGGCGGCTTAACCGCGACCTAGCGCGCACCAGAGGCGTAATATCTCACAGTTTTAATTTGCATTTCCTTAATGACTAATGAGGCTGAGCTTCCTTCCTTGTGCTTATATGCCCGATCGTACACACAACCCGATCCTCCTCTGCCCATTTTTTTAAATTGAATTGTCTTATTATTGAGCTGCAATAGTTCTCTATATATATTCTAGATAAAAGCTTTTTTTTTTTTAAATTTTTTTTTTTTGCGTTTATTATTTTTGGGACAGAGAGAATGTATGAGCAGGAGAGGGGCAGAGAGAAGGGGAACACAGAATCGAAACATATGAGCTCCAGGCTCGAGCCATCAAGCCCAGAAACTGGCCAGCCTTGGGGCTGAACTCCGCAGTCTTGAATCGTGACCTGGCGAAGTCAGGGCCGGCTGCCGACTTCGCCACCCAGGTGCCGATAAAAGCTTTATCAGATATGTGTTTGCGTTTCTTCCAGTTGTGGCTTGTCTTTTTCATTCTCTACCATTGTTTTCTAAGAGTTCTTAATTTATATGAAGCCTTATTTCAAATATTTCTGGATCATGCTTTTTTTTTGGTTTTCCAAGACCTAATAAATCTTTGTATAACTGAAAATAACACGAATATTCTCCTATGTTTTATTCTACATTTTATGGTTGGGGGTTTCATATTTGGATCTATATGACACACTTTGGGATAATTTCTGAATAGTAAAAACAGATCAAGGCTCTTTTTTTTGTTTTTTTTCCATATCCTTAAAGATTTGAATAGAGTTGGTGTAAGTTCTTCGCCTTACTGTCTGTTAGAAT